AAACAAACAAGTGTGCATATAGAATCACTTTCGTTCCAGCTGTTTTTAATCTTATTCCCTACACTGAAGCTGCTTAAACAACACCCGAAGTAAACACCTGTCTTTTGCTGCAGAAGGGGAACAGATGGATGTTCTGTCACGTTTCCTGGGAAGTAAATCACTGAACAGAACCAATTTTGTGAAAAGCATTGTTTTCTTTGTTGTACAGTTGAAAGATTTTATCACTTACATAATCTCATGATAATGAATTGCTGAAATGGAATAATTCTTCCCAGCAATTGTTCGCCGCATCCAAGAAGTCCTTGGTTTTGATTTCATTATTTCTCATTATTTTAGGCACTTGATCAAAATGATGAAACTGTATTTCTTTGGTTAATTTATTGGAAAATACACTTCATTTACAAACAAACTTCCTGCTTATGTAGCAGATCACGAAAATTGTCTGCCTTCATAAAGGATAGTTTTCCATTCTCTTAAAAAGATTTATCTTCAGGGCGTCCAAATTGCTCGTTGGTGTAGAAGTAGTTGGAGGATTCCTGGCAGGGGATGGCGGACGACTCTGCCACACAGGTCAGCTCCTTCTGGTCGAACACCGAACCCTCGCCGCACATGAAGCTGTGCAAGAAACATTAGATTTAGATACTTGAAAAATGCTCAGCAAAATATTCTCAAAGTATCATTTGCTGGGAGTTTTCTTATTTCTGTTTGATTTTATGATAATGAGGTCACTTACCTGTACTGGTAGGTTTCGACGGCGCCGTTGGAGAAGAGCGTCGGGTTGCACACGTGGAAGACACGGCACGAGTTGTCCTGGTCAGCGTAGTAGCCGTAGGGACGGTCGAGGCAGCTGAAGGCGCTGGTGATGCCTCCCAGTAAGGCACTGGCGCCGGAGGGAAGGTTCAGAGGCTCGAAGACTCCGCTGACGGAGTCGCTGGAGGATTGAAGGAAGGAGGTGGTCTGAGAGTTCTGAGAGAAACGGTTGGAATCCTGGTTGTTGAAGGTCGATGTTGGAATTCTGGTTGTTGAAGGTGACTGGAATTGTTGTTGGAATTAAGTTGGATTGGAATCGTTGTTGGAATTCTGGTTGTTGGTGGATTGGAATCGGTTGTTGGAATCCTGGTTGTTGAAACTAGACTGGAATTGGTTGTTGGAATCCTGCTGATTAAAGCCTGACTGGAAACCACTAGAGGAACGTTGCTGGAACTGACCACCAAGGTTCTGTCGGTTGTTGAATGTGGAGAATGTGGAGGCAGAGTTCCTTTGGTTGTCGAAGGTCTGGAAAGAGTTGTCCTGTTGGTTGGCGGACTGGAATCGGCTTCCGGAATTAATCTGATTGGCGTTGGTCTGGAATCGGTTGTCGGAACCAAACTGACTGGAACCTGACTGGAAGAAGCTGTTTCTGCTGGAATGGACTTGTGTTCTGCTGGAAGGCGTTGGAGTCGAAGGAGTTCTGCTGGAAGGAACCAGTCTGGAACTGGTTGCGGTTGGTGGCAGCATTCCTCTGGAGCTGGTTGCTGTTCTGGAAGAGTCCAGACTGACGGAAGGTGTTGGCGTCTGAAGTGGCAGTCTGGAAAGAGTTCTGGAAGGAGTCGCCTTGCAGTCGGCCATTTGCGTTTTGGAAGGAAGCTGAGGTGAAGCTTCCACCCTGTGTGAAGTATCCGGGAGTGGCAAGGCGGACGGCAGTGTCGTACTGCCTTTGCTGCTGGAACTGCTGGCCGACGGCGGCAGCTGCCAGCGTCACTGGAAATGCATTAAGAGGGAAAATTTCAGTCCATCTAATAAGGCATCTTAAATCTGAAAGGAAGACGATATACCTATTCACAAATCCCTGCTGTGAATAAACTGTTATATGTCTACTGGGCAAGAAACAAGTATTAATGTTTCATAAAATAACTTTCAGGAAATAGGAAAACCATTTCCAACTCACCAACAACGAGAACCTTCATGTCTGTGGCGTGCGGAGGGGCGTCCGACTATGACCTGTGTGCTATGCCTCGTCCTTATATAGTCCGGCTGTGAAGGGCGGGACACTCACTGTCAGAGGTCGGGGCAGGTCCTGGCAGGGAGAAAGGAGCAGGCCGGCTATTTGTCACGCTATGATAGCTTGCGTTTTGAATGGACTGGAGTAACAAACACTTAAGATGACAGCGCCATGATATAGATTTAACGTGGCCGTGGTTTGTTTGAAAAATAGTCTTTGATATGATTGTGACAGGCAATGATAAGAGTAGAAAAGGACCCTCTTGAGAATGTTTAGCCCCCTCCCCCCAATCATTTTCGTGATTTCGACCCAATATTGAAAGTACAAATGCTGCCTCTTTACCCCGTCACGTGTTAAAACCCTAGTATTTGTATGAATATACATAGTTGTATATATATGAAAACATATATACTTATATATATACACATATGTGTGTGTACATATACATATACATATGTATGTATATGCCTATATATATATATATATATATATATATATATATTATATATATATATATAT